ATATATATATATATATATATATATATATATATATATATATATGTATTATACAAATAAAGTGTCAGTGCATACATATATGCTCTTATGGCAAATATTTTATATGCTTACTATTATCAGTCCTCAACAGTCCTATTGAGCCATAGATTAGATATTACATTTCTTGATCTGAAGTTTAAGGTAGTTAAATAATGCCCCAAAAGTCATCTACCAGTGAGTATAAACCAATACTCATCCCCAAGTTTGCCTGATTCTCAAGGTAGGCTCTTAATGTTTGTGACAGATTGCTTACTGTGGTGCAAGAACATGGCAAAGTGAATTGGGGTGAAGTACTCCTAAGAGGTTTTGCTTTTGTGGGAAACTGAGCCAATTAACCCCTGCTCTGGCCCTGAGAAAGGTATTAAGGCAGAAAACTGGGTTGACTAAGTAGGTAAAGTGCTCCCTATGCATGTGTGAGGAGCTGAGCTCAACCCCCAGAGCCTGTATTTTAAAAGCTGGGCTGTCATCCTACCTCTGAGAAGATAGAGAGGATGATCCCTAAGGCTGGATGTGCAGAGAGTCTAGCCAAGTCAGTGAGCCCCAGGTTCAGCGAGAGGCTTTCTCTCAAAATAATACACTGAAGAGCAATTGAGGAAGACTCCAATGATGATCTTGGCTGCCATGTGTACAGAGCCTGCACACACACACACACACACACACACACACACACACACACACACACACCACGTGCGCGCACGCACATGAGGCCAGGTTGGAAAATTGCCAAAGTATTAGCCTTTCTAGGGATATATAATTTATTATCGAAGTCACTTCTAAAAGTAAAAAGGGGCTCCTCAGGAGTACATGGGGATAATACCAAAAATGAGATTTATCCAGGGTAAACTAAGATAGGAGCACCATTTCTGTGTTCCTCTCTTGCTAATGTTTATTTTTCTCTCTTTTTTTTTCTTACTTTTGTTTTCCCATCTGGCTGTTTTTTCTAAGTACCAATCATTTGCTAATTTCTTTAAGTTGGGATGCTTGTTCAATGCCTCTTATTTGAAACTAATGCTACAAAGCACCAGGTTCTTTGCTGTAGTAACAACAGTAAAGCATGAAACAGTAAAGCATTAAAAACTTACCCCAGAATGCTGTTAAAAACAGGTACATCCTAGAATGGCTCATTTGGGAGTAGTTTAGCTTAGTTCATGAGATTGCACTCACTGCCAAATGAAACCAGTGTCATCTGAAAGAATAATATCAGAACTGCTTACTCAGCAAGCTATACCCTCATGGCATGGCTTCCGGACTCTCTAGGATCCATGACTGAGAGATAGAGAAAAATCACATGGCTTTTCCCAGTCCTGAGTTACACTAATTCTGATAAACTGACATATGTGTGTCGAATGTGTCGGATGCCTGTGCTGAAATCCTCGTGTCTAAAGTGATGGTTTGGGAAGTAGAGCTTCTGGGAGGTCCGGAGTTGATCATGTTGTAGTGGTGGAGCTCAAATGGGGTCAAGACCTTTTTGAAGGAATTTAAAGAAGGCTCGTTTGCCCCTTTCAACACAGGAGAATCAGACCAAACGATGCCTTCTAGAAACAGAAAGTCGCCAGCACTAGACACCACATCTCCAACATCTTGATGCTTGGATGTTTTTGTTGCTGTTTTGTTTGCGGTTTTGATTCATTGCTTTGTTTTTGAGATCGGGTCCTACTACATAGCCATTGGGGTGGCTTTCCATTCTGAGTCTCTCTGCCTTGGCCTTCTGTGTGCTAGAATTACAGGTATATGCCACCATGCTCCATCAGCCTCTATTTCCTGAAGACCGTCAAAAGAACTTATGAACATATGATATCATTTCTGCTCTAACCAAATAATCAAAGGGAACCAAGTGGAAACAAAGTTAAACAACCCTGGTCCTGCTAATCTTGAAATTAGAAATCGAAACAAGAAGTTTCCCTTTCTCTTTCCAAATTTTCTGTTATATCTGTTGTGTATTATTCCACAACATATAGTCCTGTTGTGAGATTGGTACAAACTTTCTAAATAAGAATTCAGTAGAAATTTAAATATTTTTATGTAGCAAAAGAAATCAATGATTAGATTTGTAAATAGGTTGCATTGTTATATTGATATATTGCAAAAGGCAGAAGAGAGATGACACAATTAGGACTGGTAATTGAGAAGAACTAAAGAAAACAGTACAGACTCGTGGATTAGTTTGGTGATGATGGTATTTAATATTGATTGTCAAGTTGACAGGATCGAGAATTACCTAGAAGACCAACATGTAGGCATAACTGTGAGGGGGGTTTGCCTTGAGGGGGAAAAATCACACACTAAATGTGAGCAACACCATTTTATGGGCTGAGGATCCCTGGCAGAATAAAAAGGAGAAGGTGAACTGAGAGCCACCACCATCTTTTTTTGCTTCCTGACAGTGGATACGCTGTAACCATTGGCTATGCCTTCCCCGCCATGATAGACTGGACCCTACAATCAAGAGCTAATATAATAATATATATTATATATAATAATAAAATAATTCCTTTCTCCCTTAAGTTGCTTTTCTTAGCTGTTTCGTCATGGCATTAAGAAAACAAATACAGGGGGCTGGAGAGATGGCTTAGCAGTTAAGATCACTAGCTCCTCTCGCAAAGGATTATGGTTCAACACCCAGATGGTGGATCACAGCTGTCTGTAACTCCCGTTCCCAGGGATATATGTCTTCTGCTGATCTACACAGGAACCAGACACACACATGACCAACAGACATACAAGCAGGCAGAATGCTAATGCAATGAAAGTAACTCAGTACCCAAGTGGGTTCCCTAGTAAGGGGGATAAGGATTATTTCTGACATGAACTCAATGACTAGCTCATTGAGCTTCCTCCCCCTCCCCCCCCCCAGGGAGGAGCAGTCTTGCTAGGCCACAGATAAGGACATTGAAACCAGTCCTGAAGATACCTGATAAGCTAGGGTCAGATGGAAGGGGAGAAGACCTCCCCTATCAGTGGACTTGGAGAGGAGCATGGGAGGAGATGAAGGAAGGAGGGTGGGATTGGGAGGGAATGAGGGAGGGGACTACAGCTGGGATACAAAGTGAATAAACTGTAATTAATATAAAAAATGAAAATTTAATTAAAAAGATATATAAACATATCAGAATAATATTGCAGCCAGTCCTGAAGATACCTGATAAAACAGGGTCAGATGGAAGGGGAGGAGGACCTCCCCTATCAGTGGACTTGGAAGGGGACAGGGAGGAGATGAGGGAGGGAGGGTAGGATTGGGAGGGAAAAAAGGAGGGGGCTACAGCTGGGATACAAGTGAATGACCTGTGATTAAAAGAAAAGAAAGAAAAAGAAAATAAAGATATACCTGCTCCTAGAGGTGTTGCAGGTATGGCTGCTGTGTCGCATGGGTATGAGGAGGTGGCAGAGAGGAGATGGCTATGTCTACACTAGTGTTCTGACCTATGACCATCTGAATAATTAGTAGCCTAACACTCCCTGAAAAAAAAAAAAAGCATCTAAGATGATCACCAGTCTGGTGCAAGGGGGCCCGGACATGGAGCTAGCCTGAGACAATCACCAGTCCACTGCCAGGAGACAGGGAGCAAGCCAGAGACTAGAAGAACCAGAGACCTAGAAGAACTAGAAGAACCTTGAAATGGGCCATTTGGGAGGATCAGGCAAAGAATGAGCTCAACACAATCACCATGGGACCTGGACAGGGGACTAGCCTGAGATGACCACCAGTCTGGTGCCACACAGGCCTAAGGGATCAGACCATGCCCAAGATGACCCCTCCCCAGTGCTGTAATGCACAAGCAGGGCACAGAACTCCTGAGATGACCCCAGACCCTCAGAGGACCTGGGTGTTGCTAAGAGGAGCGAGCAAGTAAGTGGTGGAGACATGAAAGAGGAAGAGCAACAGAAAGATGTGGACACGATGAAGAGAGGCAGAACTGGAGACTCGAGGGTAGTGAGGAACAGCCTGATGTGAGCAGCCAGTGATGCCACCTGGGACCATGATGGGGTCCTGGCCTGGGCTGACGGGGGGTGTGGGTGGGAAACACATCTGGACGTATAGCCCTGTAGCAGCAGGGGTTGGTTATCACCAAAGGCCAGGTGGATGTCCCTACTCTGGGCTTGCCACCAGAGGACATGTTGATGTCTTCTGGCTGTGCAGAACTGGCCCCACACCTCCATGCTGGCCCTGGAAGAATTGAGAGTAGAAAGCTGACCCTGTCCCTAGCCGGCTGCAGGAGGGCAGGGCCTAAGTGTGCAATGGTGGATGAGGCAGCCCCAGGATACAAGCATGGGAAAGTCAGCCCTACCACTCATCTCCCTGTGGTGGTGTGGATGAAGGAGAGATGCCTCCTACCCACCCATCCCCACCCCTAGTCCCTCACCATGTATGGCAGATGGGACAACTGGCCATGTCCCTAACTGGCTGCAGCACTCAGGAGACCTGGCCCTGCACCTCACCTGGGCAGAAAGGTAGAGCTGGCCCTGGTTGTGGGGGTTGCAGGAGAGCCAGCCCCAAGGGTGTGAAAGTGGGACAGCTGGTCAGATACCTCTCAGACCCAGATCCAGGGCTTTGAATTTCCCCACCCCAATATCTACCCCATCGATGAAGGGACTGGTCCAAAACTACAGCTTATACAGCTAAGAAGTGCAATTGATTTCCTGACAAACAACTCTTTTCCTTACAAACTATATTAGAATGTTTTTGGTAGATTTTTACCTACTGGGAAACCAAACACGAAGCTGATAGTCTTTCTCAGAAACAACCCAGTTATAGTAAAGAAGAAACAAGGCTTACTATAAAAATATTTGTTGAAGGAATTAGGAAAGAAAATACTTGCTGTATCCTCAAGTTAAGTGCACTGAAGTAATGCTAAACAACACAGAACCCAATGCAGAGCTTTTTTGAGTTTTCACTTCAAATACTTGACATTTTTTTACTTATTTGTTTTTTATTATTGTTTATTATTATTAGTTACATTTTATTAACTCTGTATCCCAGCTGTGTCCCACTCCCTTATTCCCTCCCAATCCTACCCTCCCTCCCTCAGCTTCCCCCTGCCCCTTTCCAAGTCTGCAGATTGAGGAAGACTTCCTCCCCTTTCATCTGGCTCTGTTTTATCAGGTATCTTCAGAACTGGCTGCAAAGTCTTCCTCTGTAGCCTAGCAGGACTGCTCCTCCCTTGAGGGGTGGGGAGGTCAAAGAGCCTGCCATTGAGTTCTTGTCAGAGATAGTCCCCGTTCCCCTTACTATGGGAAACCAATTGGTTATTGTGCTACCTCGAGCTTCGTCTGAACAAAGGTTCTAGATTATATCCATACATGGTACTTGGTTGGAGAAACAGTTTCAGAAAAAAACCCCTGTGCCCAGATATATTTGGTCCTTGTGGGACTCCTATCCTTTCCACATCATACTAACCCCCCTTCTGCTGTAGGTTTGGTTATGAGTCTGTCTCATGAAATCTGTACTGAAATTCAGAGATACAAGCAGTTCATAATCTAACTTATTGTAGAGATGAAATGTGAACAGCTATTTAGAGTTTAGCGTTAACTAAATCTGGACTGGCCACATGAATGTTTACATCTGTCTCCACATGTCCCAGGAAAAAAAAAATCACTGACTTTTTTGAGAAAAAAAATATTTAAAATTTCACAGTTTCATTAAGTTATCAATGTATAGGATATTTGATGATAATTAAATTTTTCCCAATTAATGTAAACTTGTACAACCACTCTGGAAAGCAATCTGGTGCTTTCTCAGACAACTAGGAATAACACTTCCTTAAGATCCAGCCATACCACTCCTAGGCATATATCCAAAAGAGGCTCAAGTACACAATAAGGACATTTGCTCAACCATGTTTGTAGCAGCTTTATTTGTAAGAGCCAGAAGCTGGAAACAGCCCAGATGCCCCTCAGCTGAAGAATGGATGCAGAAATTGTGGTACATCTATATAATGGAGTATTACTCTGCAATGAAAAATAAGGAAAACATGAAATTTGCAGGTAAATGGTGGGACCTATAAAGGATCATCCTGAGTGAGCTATTCCAGAAGCAGAAAGACACACACGGTATATACTCACTCACATAGACATATAACATAGGATAAACCTACCAAAAACTGTACATCTAAAGAAACTAATCAAGAAAGAGGACCCTGACTAAAATGCTCAATCCGCATCCCGAAAGACAAAGAGGTTGGACATCAGAAGAAAAAGAAAACAGGAAACAACCTAGGAACCTGCCACAGAGGGCCTCCGAAAGCCTCTGCCCGCGTACTATAAAAGCAGACACTGAGACTTATGGCCAACTGTTGGGCAGAGTGCATGAAATCTTACATAAGAAGTGGGAAATAGTAAGAGCTTGAGAGGATGGGAACCACACAAGGAGAGCAACAGAACCAGAAAATTTGAACACAGGGAACATCCCAGGGACTCATACTCCAACCAAGGACTACTCATGGAGATAACCTAGAACCCCTGCACAGATGTAGCACATGACAGTTCAGTGTCCAAGTGGGTTCCATAGTAATGGGAAGACAGACTGCCTCTGACATAATCTGATTGCCTGCTCTTTGATCACCTCCCCCTGAGTGGAGAGCAGCTTTACCAGGCCACAGAAGATGACAATGCAGCCACTCCTGATGTGATCTCATAGACTAAGATCAGAAGGAAGAAGAAGAGGACATCCCCTATCAGTGGACTTGGGGAGGGGCATTTGTGAAGAAGGGGGAGGGAGGGTAGGATCCGGAGGGGAGGAGGGTGGGACTTATGGGGGATACAAAGTGAATAAGGTGTAATTAATAATAAAAAAATTATCTTCAAAAATTTTTTTACCAATTAAAAAAAGAGAAAAGCAATATAGTGATTAATCTCGATGCAAAGGGAGTCAGTGGCCATCAACATAAGCTCTGATCTTTTGTGTCAAGCTAAAGGAGAGAAATGGAACAGGCACTCCAAGGCTATTTTCTGACCCTCTAATCTTCTTCCTAATGAGTGAGCCAAATAGAATCCAGACTGGAAAGAAGTTCATTGAGATGAATTGGAGATAAGCCTCCTGAAATACGAATCAGGGTACAGAGTACATCCGGAAGAGCAACTGGAAATAGTCAAGAGAGAGGATTATTCAAAAGAGCTTCAGATGCTCTACTTAGATGAGAAGATTTCAGAGCTGTTGCATATAATTTACACCTTCATACTCAAAATGGACATCAGCAGGTTCAAAGAAATATATGTTGGCATCAAAATGTTCATAGAAATATGTCCAGGTTTCACATGAGTTGTGGAGAATTTTACTTTTAGACACAAAACGTCTGGTTTAGCTCAGAGCAATTCTAAACAATTCTGAATCTTGAATATGTGTATTTGATATTGTTTTTATTTTAGTTTATAAGTATACAAATGTGACATTTTTAATGATATACACTCAAGTGACTGCCCTATAAACTTACCTCTATTCAAATAAAAAACATAAACTGGGATATTTTCTTTGCTGTACCCTTCCCTGCATGTGCCCTTCACTTCTTAGTCAAACTCAGATTTCCTCATAGTAATCCTTGATGGAAAATTAAATCAATCTCTAATGCTGGTACTTTTGTTTAGCCTAAATATCGAGCTTGAAATATGATGTCACAGGGCAGATAAGACAATACTTTGCCTTCTCTTCAATATCTCTAGGAACAGATTTAATGTTCTTCTAAAATAAGAATGTTCCATTATACAATTGACATAATTTTTCTATATGGAGGAGCATTATGGTAAAAATAATCTCACCCACCACTGTCTATTTAAGATGGAACTTCTGCCCAGAATCGCTAAAACAATCCTCTACAATAAAAGATCTTCTGATCTCAAGCTGTACTATAAAGCAACAGTAATAAAACCATGGTACTGGCATAGAAACACGTATGTGGATCAATGGAATCGAATAGAAGACCCAGAAATAAACCCACACACTTATGGACACCCGATCTTTGACAAAGATGCCAAAACCATACAATGGAAAAAGATAGCATCTTCAACAAGTGGTGCTGGTCTAACTGGATGTCTACATGGAGAAAAATGCAAATAGATCCATACATATCACCCTGCATAAAACTAAAGTCCAAGTGGATCAAAGACCTCAACATAAAACCAGACACACTAAACCTATTAGAAAAAGTACGGAAGAGCCTTGAGCTCATTGGCACAGGAGACAACTTCCTGAACAGAACACCCGCAGCACAGGCTATATGGTCAACAATCAATAAATGGGACCTCATGAAACTGAAAAGTTTCCATAAAGCAAAGGACACTGTCATCACAACAAAACGAATGTCTACAGATTGGGAAAGGATCTTCACCAACCCTATATCTGACAGAGGACTAATATCCAGTATATACAAAGAACTGAAGAAGTTAATCAGCAACAAATCAAGTAATCCAATTAAAAATGGAGTACAGAGCGAACTGCTAACAGAAAATTCTCAATAGAGGAAT